AGATGGAAAGCTTGAAGAACAGAAGAGTTTGATAACTTGGCTAGAGTCATATGACTAGTATATAATGAGACCAGAACCTGAACCCTGACAGTCTGGCCTTGAGCTAAGTTATATGGAGTAATAAATCAACCTCAACTATTAACATTTGTCGGGGGGAAGAAAGAATGCAAGCTCTTTTACTCAGCATCTTAAATATGTCAGGTATCCCAACATTAACAGCCTGGTGAATTCAGTTTTTAGCTGTATATCTTAGATATTTAATGAAAAGCTGAGATCCAGTGATACTAAATAACAAGTTCAGGGTTTTTTTACTACACTATACTATCTTTTACAATGCCAGGCAGCATCACCCTCAATAGCACCATAATTCAGCCATAAAAAAAACCACAAATACAACATTGTGACAGTCATCTGGCAGTTATATATTATGGGCTACAAAAGGCAGAATTTTGATGGATAATCATAGTTTCTTTCTTTACAAAAATAATTTGAAGCTCATAATTTACATATAATAAATCAAAATAATAATAAATCAGTGAAGACAGCACATTATTATCTATACACAGGCCAATTTAACTGAAAACGATATATACACAACACCATACCTAACCTATCACTTAGATAGGTCTTTTAGTAACCCTGTTTGTAACTCTATATTTTAAACTTATGATTTTCATGAAGAACCTTCATATTTGACATAGAATAATTTTTCTGTAACTGATTCCTACCTGTGCCATTCTGTATAAACCATCTACTACAGGTTAAGTACTCCTTAGAAAAAGAAAAAAGTATTCCTTAGCTGAAGTTGTTGAGACCAGAAATATTTTGGATTTTGGAACATTTATGTAAAAATAGTGATATATCTTGGGGATGGGACCCAACTTTATATATGAAATCTATTTATGTTTCATATACTTTATATGCATAGCCTGAAGGTAGCATTATAAAATTTTTAGAATTATTTTGCTATTATTACTATTATGTTTGTAGTACATAATGATTACACATTCTTTGTGGGGAGTTAGTTTATGTACATAACATATCTTAATTCTTTTTCCATCTCTTTCCCTCCCTCCACCCCTCCAACTCTTGGTCCCCTTCCCATATACAAAAGATCTATCTCCCTATTTTCTATCTTTTATTTTGCACTTTATTTATATTTTGGATGTCTCATATATGAGAAACCATGCAGTACTTAAACTTGTCTGATTTATTTCAGGTAACATTATGCTCTCAAGGTGCTTCTGTTTTACTACAAATGGCTGAATTTTATTCTTCTTTATGGCAGAGTAGCATTCCATTGTGCATAAATACTACATTTTCTTTATCTGTTCATCTATTGATGGAAACATAGGCCACTTTCACAATTTAGCTATTATGAATTGTGCTGCTATAAACATGGGGTACACATGTGTCATTGTAATAGGACTCTAACTCTTTCAGAAAAAATACCTAGAAGAGCAATAGCAGTGTTGAACACAATTTCTATTTTTAGTTTTTTGAGGAATATCTATACTAATTTGTATAGTGGTTATACTAGTTCACATTTACACCAACATTGTAGATGGGTTCCTTCCCATGCACCACCCCCAGCCTTGCCAACATCTATTGTTAACTGATTTCTTGATGATAGCCGTTCTTGCTAGAGTAAGATGGAATCTCAATGTATTTTAATTTTCATTTCTCTAATAGCCAGAGATGTTGAATATTTTTCATATTTATTGGCCATTTGTACTTCTTCTGAAAAGTACTTATTCATTTCAGTTGCCCATTTTTTGATTAGATCTTTTATTTGGTGGGTCTAAATTTTTTGAGTTTTTTGTATAGTCTAGATGTTAGTCCTGTTTGAGGGATGGCTGGAAAATGTTCTTCCCATTCACTCTGTTGGTCCTTTCCTTTGCTTTGCAGAAGTTCAATTTTATATAATATTTTAAATTATTCTGTGCATGAAACCAAATTGCACGGTATGCGAGTTTCTGCTGATATGTCATGTCAGAACTCAAAATATTTCAGATTTTGGAGCATTTTGGGTTTTGTATTTTTAGAGGAGGGATGTCCCACCTGTTCTTTATTTATTGTAGCTTTGATTTGGGTTATGGTGAAGCTACCTCGGGCTCCTAATGTAGCTTCTCTTGGCCTACAAGTTGGTGTCCAGTGTTGGTAGACTGCTGTGTTTCAAGTTGCAGTATTAGTAGATTCAATAAATGCTGGATAATTTAGCAATACTAGCTATCCTGTTCATTATTAACAGTACAGGCAACCTTAAGTGTAACTACTTAAAACTCTCTATATAAAGTCACTGATGATAACACTGAGTTTCTCCTCTGAAGACATAAATGCTAAGAGATTGTACTTTGGTGTGTGGCTGATTGGGCATTAGAGCCTACACTAGTTTTTAATTCTGTTTTTGAATTTGTTAGTGAGCATGTTATGTATCCTTTATATACAACAATGATGCTCCTGATGCATAATCAATACTCTTTCAAATTTTGTTTCCTAGTATTAAAGGTGACATATACCAAACTTGAATATTTGTCATTTATTGGTGATGAGGCTAAGCAGGGAGCATACATCTGGCACATACTTATCAGTGTGAAATGTGCTAGTCTATAGAAGTACCTCTACAACTTTTGATCTTTTAGTATTAGACAGTCAGTGGTCATGCTTTTTATGCAGAGTGAGGGTCCTGGACTTACATCTTATGTTTTTTATTCCTCTTCACCAAAATTTAGGGTAAAGCTAATGGTAATTGAACAGAGGAGGAAAAAATGATGTTTGATGTTAGCATATGTAATAGCCACTTTCCCATGGCTGGGACAAAATACCTAACACTTGCAATTTGAGGGAGAATTAGAGGGAGGAGGATTCAATCCAAGGTCACCTAGCTCCAAAGTCAAACTGGCATGCAGAATAGCATGCCAGAGGAAAGCTGTTCACTCTGGGGCATATATGTATCTTGACTTTTTTCAGTTTGTATTTTTTTTCTATTTAATTGGCACATAATTGTGCATATTTACAAGCTACAGTGTGATAATTCAATACATGTATACAATGTGTAAGAATCAAATCAGGTAATTAGCATTTTATTGTGTTATATGTTTGTCGTTTCTTTGTGTTTGGAGCCTTCCAAGAGGAACTTTCTCATTCTAAATAAAATATATAATATTTTGTTGCATATTACAGTTACCTTACTGTGCCATACAACACGAACTTACTCCTCCTGACTGTATTTTATCACCCATTATTCAACCTTTCTTTATCCTTCCTCACCCCATCCTTCCTAGCATTCAATAACTACTATTCTTCTCTCTTACTTGAGAGCAAATGTTTTAGTTCCTACATATCAGTGAGAACGTGTGGTTTTTGTCTTGCTGTGCCTGGCTTATTTCATTTAACATGATGACCTCCAGTTCCATCTATTTTGTCATGAACGACAGAATAGCATTCTGTTTTAGGCTGAATAGTATTTCACTGGATATATGTACCACATTTCCTTTATCCATTCATCTTCTAATGGACACCTTGGTTGATGCCATATCTTGGCTGTTGTGCACATCAGTACTAAGGGAAAAAGCAACTTGATTTTTAAGTTAACATATAACTATGATATTGTGAGAGGAAATCTCCAGGACCAGATTGCCTGGACTTGAATCCTGGCTCTTTTAGTTACTGACTATAATTGTAACCATGGTCAAGTTACTTAATCTCTTTGTGTTATTGTATTCTGTGACCTTGATCACCTTAGTTCTAAGAGGTTTTTGGTAAGTTCCTTAGCATTTTCTGCAAATACAATCATGTTGTCTGAAAATGAAGACAGTTTTACTTCTGTCTTTCTAATCTTTTTTTCTTTTCTGTCTGCCTTATTGCAGTAGCTCATACCTCCAATATAATATTGAGTTGCTGTTCCAAATCTTAGAATGCATTCAGTCTTTCAAAAATAAACATAATGTTAGCTATATGTTTTTGTTACTTGGCTTTTATGAAATTGAGGAAGCTTTCTCTTATTTCTAATGCTTAGAGTTGATATGATAATTAGGTATTTAATTTTGTCAAATGATTTTCCTTCATTTCTAGGGATAATCATAAGATCACCATCCTTATTAATATGGTGATTTATACATTGATTTTTCAAATGTTAAACTGTTTCTTTAATATAACAAAAGAAAATAGAGCTGATGATATAGCTCAGCAGCACAGGACCTGCCTGGCAAGTGCAAGGTCCTGTGTTTGACTCCAGTACCCCAAAAAAATTAGATATTTTAGTATTTTTTGTGCATTTGTTGAGAACTGGCAGTATCTTAAGGTAGTTCAAAATCTCTAGACTTTATCACAAACCTTTCTTTTCAGTGAACTAAGAGAAACTAGCAGTTATGCTAATTACCTAAGAAACTATTTTAACTATCTTGTTTATAAATATTTTATATTGTTTGAACAATATCTCATACGTATATCTTGTACCCTGAGTAACTACCCTGAAGTAACAATATGCAGCGTATTAATTATTGTTACTCTCCTGTTATCTTGTTTTGAAATTCTGGTTTTTTTCCTTTTTAAAATAAAAAATCTCTAGACTTATTCTCCAGTTGTCTCTCAATTTAAAAAGTGATATGTCAAAGACATAGTGATCAACAATAACATAACCTTTGGGGAAGAAACAAATAGTTATACTGAGACTTCTTAATTAGTGATTTACAGATATTTTAGTAAAATATTAAGTAGTACAAAGAGAACATAGTATTTGTACTAACTTCCTGATCATTTATTTCTCCTATAATTCATAGAAAAATAATCTTAATTCTTTTGAGGCCTTCCTTTTTGAAGATATGAATATATTGGGTAATGAAGCCAGCTAGGTAATACATAGTCATTGAGATGCACTTTACTACATAGTTAGAAATATTTTGGATTTATAATCATAATAAGCATAAGTCCTCAGACAAAGACTTGGTTTTTCATTGGGTGATAAACAAAATGAGTACCACCGTCCATGGTGCCTTGATTTATCATACTTGCTCTTCAACTGTAACCATAATATGTTAATTCTCTTTATAGAAAGGTATTTGTGGGTTTTGTTACTATGTACCACCAGGCCTGTTTTAGTGTAGTGACTATTATTTTGGTAAAGAAGGCATTTGAAAATCAGTGCTTAAATATGGTGAGAATGATTCATTCTTCCTATTAGCAGGTCTTATTCCTACAAGTGGAAATAACACGGGCAGGACATCTGCTAATTGAGTCTTCCATTAGGTATTATTTGCATAGCTCTTAATCCCTAAAGACATAGTCTGCCCATTAACTCAAACCTTTTGTACAAATAGAATTGAATAAAGCAGATGAGTGAGGACATGTGGTTGGAGAACAGCCTTGGTGTCTTGCTCTGTTCCTCATATGTGAAGCTACACTGCCAATCCTTCTCTGTACACACAGCCCTCGGGAACAACCCTGAGAAAGAGCTCTCATCAGCTCATTTACAGGCTTAGCTGTGTCAGCTTCCAGAAGCAGCATGACCTTCTCCATTCAGCTGCTGATATTAGCCCATTCTTGAGCTCTGTCTCTTCCGTTCCCATGGAGTGAGGCTCTGGGCTTCTTCTGCACATGCTCCCTGAGAGAGTCATTCACAAGGCAGTCTGCTGTACGAAGAGGCCACAAGGCCAGCTGGGGAAGAAGAGGCATCATGCCAATCAGGGAGAAGAGTAAGACATATTAAAAATGACATCAGTGCAGTAATCCCTCAGGGATGAATACAAATTGACCTGATATGTTTTTCCTGGAAATTCCAGCTCATTCCAGACATTTGTTTTTCTCTGTAAAGGAGTGGGGGTAGGTTTGATTCTTTGTATATGACAGGCTATTCAGCCACAGAGGCAGTTAATACTTGTAGACTATACTACACAAAACTATGAAATCTACCACAGATCTTGCATTATATACTTCATGTATAATGACATAAATTCATTATAGTAATAGTTTTCCCTTTGGACATTCTTTCAAGAATATTTGTATTTAGTTTGAGTGTGCAAGATAATTTAAGCCCAGAAGGACCATTTAAAATGGAGATTATTTGGTAGAAAACAATCACATTTTAAATATTTGACATTCTGCCACCATTAGGTGTGTAAATTTCTGATTCTCAGAAATCAGTTCAATTCGGGGCTGGGGATTTAGCTCAGCGGCAAAAGCACCTGCCTGGCAAGCGCAAGGTCATGAGTTCGGTTCCCGGTTCCAGAGAAAAACCAAAAAAACAAAAAAACAAAACAAAAAAAAAAAGAAATCAGTTCAATTCAACAAATATATATTATGAGCCATTCACCTACTCATGAGTGACTGCTACTCTTTATTCTCAGGGACCAAAAAGCTGTGTATGGCTCAAGTAGCACAGAGGTTGGAATTAGGAGACTATAAATTTCTTTGCTGATCGCTGATAGATTTAAGGGCTGGCTTGAGATAGCCAATCATATGTGTTGTATGTAACAGAACTCTGGCTTATTTTTAAATAATCAATGTTGTATTTTCTTATAAAAGTAACATATTTTCATTATAGGAGATTTACCATGGGAAAAATGAGCAAAGCCAAGAAAAAAACCTGTTAATAAAGCACCCAAAGTAATACCATTAACACGTTTTATATCCCCTCTAGCTTTTTAAGTTTATATCAAAATAATCTTGCCTTATACTCTTTCATAAGATGTTTTGGTCACCTTATTGTGATATTTTGTATCATTAAATATCATAATATTTTACTATATGAAGATACAATTCCCTAATCCCCTACAGATGGGATTTAAAATTTTTAGTTTCTCCTCATGTAATGACCATCCAGATAGTAAAATCTTTGTGAATACCCATGAGTTTGTTTGTTTGTTGAGGCAGCGTCTCACTGGGTTGCCCAAGGTGTTCTCAAATTCTTGGGCTTGATGATCCTCCCTCCTCAGCCTCTGAGTAGCCAGGAGTACAGTTGTGCATTACCACTTCATGATTATTTTAAGACAAGATCATAAACATGGAATTACTGCATCAAAAGTTGTATAAAATACTATGGCTTTTGATGTATTTATTTAAAATTTCTCCCAATTTATATCAGTAGTAAGTTTATGAGAAAGTCAAACTTCTAAATGGACATAATTCAACATATCAAACTCTATATTTGTATTGACTGATTTATATGTCTTTGTACTCTGATTAAATATTTAAATCAGATGTAGTTTTGTTCCTCTTAGTAATCAGTGAATGCTCTACAAGTAGGTGGGAAGATGGGGAAGAGTTGAGTTCTTGAGAATCTAGCTCTCTGCCAGGAACCCCAGTATAGAGAGAAGGAAGGCAAAAAGACTGATTTTTTTTTTAACCTAGGTCTGACATGAAGGGTGGATACTTATAAAACCAGAACAAATATTTAATCTTCAAAGACTTACTGTCTAGTCAGGAAAGAGAGAACACACATCCATGTAAAGTCAACTAATGCAAACAAATTCACAAGATAAAATTATTTTCTTTTTCGTTTCATGATTTAAAGATATTATTCTTTTTGCCTATAAATAGAGTCTGGCATAATGTGACCAAAATAGACGAGTGATTATCTCCATTATCTATTGCCTTTTCATCACATGTAATCCAGGACTTTCCACTTCTGGTAACAGTAAACTAGGTATATGGGCCACTGAAGACAATTAAAAATCTGACAGCAATATTATTTTTCAATATTCTTACATATATTGAAGAGCTAACAAAATAGTAAGATAATAGTGAGTCAAAATCCAGAGTAAAGCAAGAACCCAGAAAGGTAAACTGAGCATTCAGAACCTCTTTTTCTTTGAAAGTATTTGCTAGTCTGAAAGAAATATCTGAATTCAAACTGGGTATTTGTTCATCTCAGAGGGGAGGGAGGACAGAAATCCAAGCCAAGAGCCTATCCCAGGTAAGAAATCTGATAAAGCCCTTTATCTCTTTAAGTGAGACATTAGCCAGGCATGGTAGGCACACATTTACAATCTTAATACTCTGATAGGCTGAGGTAGGAGGATCACAAGTTGGAGTCTAGCCTACGCAAGTTGGTGACTGAGTGAAATCCTGTCTCAAAAATAAAAAGTGTCGAGGATGTAGCTCAGTGTAAAAACCCTGGGTTCAGTCCCCAGGACCAACAAGGAAGGAAGGAAGGAAGGAAGGAAGGAAGGAAGGAAGGAAGGAAGGAAGGAAGGAAGAGAGGGAAAAAAGAAAAGAAAAGAAAAAGTAAGACTACTCCTGTAGAGAGAGTGGTCTAGAAGTAAACATTTACCCAAGCAGTTCAGGTTTGTGTCACTTAGGTGGTCCAGGTATATTAGTCAGCTTTCCCGTCACTGGGCCAAAATAGCTAACACAAGTAAAGGAGGAGAGATTTATTTTGGCTTACAGTTCTCAGAGGATTCAGGAACTGGTTGGCTCCAAGGCAGAACAAGAAATGCTATTCACCCTGTGGCACCTAGAAAGCAGAGAGAAAGAATGCCCTTCCAGGTCATGCCCAGTGATCTGTCTCTAACCAGGCCCCACCTCCTTTAGACAGCTATGAACTCATCAGCATAGCACCCCCATGATGCAGTCACCTCCCAGATACATGAGACTTTTTTTTTTCTTTTTTTGAGACAAGGTCTCACTATGCAGTTCAGGCTGGCCTTGAACTCACTTTGTAGCCCAGGCTGGTCTCAAACTTTCATGATCCTCCTGCCTCAGCTTCCTGAGTGCTGGGATTACAGGTGTGTGCCACCACTCCCAGCCACATGAGACTTTTGAGAGCACATTTTAGATCTAAGCCAAAATACCAAGGAACCTCAACTTTTTCATTTAGACCAGATGATGCCCTACTAGTAGTGTCTTCCTGGCAGAAGCCAAGAAAAGTCCTTTCTAGAGAATGGTTCCATTATTGTAAGATTCAAATAAATCTTTAAAATATTTTTCTAGTATAATTACCAATAGACAGGTATAATTATTTCCACAAAATGACAAAATACCCTGAGTAATAACCAACAGAAACAATAGATAAAGTTTTACAAAAACTTCAGGCCAGTTGTGGTAGTGTACACCTATAATCCCAGCACTTAGGAGGCTGAGGCAGGAGGATAGCTTCAAGTTCAAGACCAGCCTAGGCTACATATTGAGTTCAAAGCCAGTCTGAACAACATAGTGAGACCTTGTCTCAAAAAAAAAAACCTTTGGATATTATAATCTTTAGACAAACTGTAAAATAACCATGCTAACTGTGTCTTAAAGAGATTTTTAAAAATAAGCTTGAAAATATTTATAAGAGCAATAATCAATAAAAAGTATAACAGATTTGTAGAATTTCTAAAATTAAAAAATAAGACAACCAAAATTAAGAATTTTGTAAACATTTATCAACAGATCATACATAACTCATGACAAAACTGGAAGATAGACCTGAGAAATTATCTAGAATGCAGCAGAGCAAATAAAAAGATAGAATATATGGAAGATAGGGTATGAGGCCTGAGGAATGGAGTGAAAGCACCTAGTAACATAACTTAAATGAAAGTCCCAGAAGGTGAAAAAATTTTGTAAAATAGGCATATTTGAAAAGATAATGTCTGACAATTTCCCTTAAATAATATAAAACATAATCTACTAATTCAAGAAACATAATGAATGCCAAGCTGGCAAATGAAAAGAATCCTCACTTAAATAAAAGTTAATAAAACTACAGCTAACCAAAGACAAGCCCTTTAAAATAATAATAAGTAAGCTGGGTGTGGTGGCACATCCCTTCAGTCCCAAGACTCAGAAGGCTGAGGCAGGAAGATCACCATGAGTTTGAGGCCAGCCTGGACCACATAGTGAGTTCAAGGTCAGCCTGAACTACATAGCAAGACCCTGTCTCAGAAAATAAAACAAATAATAATTAAATAAATAATTTGCCTTCAAAGAAGCAACAGATAAATTGATCCAACTTCTTAATAATGGCAATGGAAGCCAAAAGACTGAGGCTTTCATAGTTTTTTTTGCAGATTGTTCTTTCAACAAGGAACTCCTGCAAAGGCAATAAGAGAAGCCAAAATCTACCCCTCATTGTAGTTGTCAGAACCTGTGCCTGGCTATGAGCTATTTCTGCCCACAGAAAGGGCTACCCTTTTCTAATTTCCACAAAGGTATCTTCCATTTGCCAAACCATGTACCAATAGGGCAGCCTCTACCTGTAAGAGGTACCCTGTTTTAATTTGCATAAAATCACCAAATAGCTAGCAGCAGCTCTGCAGAAGGGTTTAATGTCAAAGTGTCTCAATTAGTTTTAAATTTATACATTCTTTCTCTTCTTTCCACAATTGGGCATAGACAGAGGGAAATTGATCTCAGGTAGGTACTGAAGAAGGAACATTAAAGGCTGTAGCAGGGTTCACTAGATAGTTAACAGATTGAATAATATATACAAGATATATAGATATATAAAAATATAAATATGACTTACAATGTAGGCTTGCAGTGGGCACCTGCGGAGACAGGTATGGAAGAATGCAAAGGGCCGTCGGTGTACTGGAGAGCTGCATGATCCAGGCAAAAGTGCAAGAGTGCTGGAGCTCACTGCAGAGTACCTTCAAAATTTATACTGGGAAGCCAGAGGGTCTGTGTTGGAGGCTGAAGAGTCTGAACTAGAAGCCTAGAGATAGACATCCAAAGGCAACGATCAAGGCTGGAACTCCTCTAGAGCGGCAGAAGTGAGACTTCTTTCTTTCCCTTTTTATCCACCCAGGCTATAAGCCTATTGGTTGGTGCCATCTACACCCAGGGTAGGTCTTCCCTTTTCAGTAGCCCATCATTCAAACAAACCCAAAACTATGCTAAACCAATCAGCTGGGTGTTTCTTACTCAAGTTGACAGTTAACTATCACAAAGGCATTTTAAGAAAAAGGCAGATGGGGACTAGAGATATAGCTCAGTGGTGCAGAGCCTGCCTGGCAAGTGCAAGGTCCTGAGTTTGATTCCCAGTAGCCACAAAAAGAAAAAGAAAAAAAAAGTAAATAATTTGCTACTATGTTAATGGGCTAAATGCTAGCATTAATAGACAAAGATTGTCATAATTCAACTGTCTGCTATTTATTGAAGGCACACCTAAAATATAAGTCAGCAGTTTTCAACTTGGGGTGATTTTTCCCTCCAGGGCGGGTATTTAACAGTCTCTGGAGTTACTTTAACAGTTATTTTAAGTCTCTGGAGTTACTGATCACCATGACTAGCTGGGATCTATTGTAAACTACAATGTGCGAAGACTGCACCCTCACAACAAAGAATTAATCTTGACCTAATATTAATAATGCCAGGGCCGGGGATATAGCTCAATGGCACAGTGTCTGCCTGGCAAGCACAAAGTCCTGAGTTTGAGTCCCGGTACCAAAAATAATAATAATGCCAAAGTTGAGAAGCCCTGATATAAGTAAACAGATAAAAAGGAAGATATACAAGGGACATACCTGCACAACAAAAGTAAGCCTATACAGCTATATTTATAATAGATAAGATTATATTGAGTCAGAAGATGTGTCTAGAGATAAAAGGGCTTAGTTTACTTGATCTTAGCCAAAAGGCCGAGAAGCGATAAAAAGGGCTTAGTTCAAATAATAAAAGTTTTCATTTACTAGGAATATATAAGTATTTTAAAGTTATATGCATCTGGCCAGACACAGTGACGTGCACCCATAGTCCTTGCTACTTGGGAGGCAGAAGCGGGAATATCACTTCAGCTCAGGAGTTCAGGGCCAGCCTGGAAAACTTAGGAAGACCTTATTTCTTAAAAAATAAATAAAGAGCTGTGTATGCCTAATATATAAAGCAAAATTTCAGGACTCCAAGGAAAAAGACAAATTTACTATCAAGTTGTTTTATGTTTACATACTTTCCTTAGGATTTATATAACAAGCAGTCAAAACTTCAATAGGATTTGAGTAATGTTGTAGCTTTGGTTTACCAAGGGGAAGGATTTAATACAGGACAAATAATTTATAGAGTTATTTTATAATATTCACCCAAAGAGTCAAATTCAAAAGAGTACGAGAGATTTGTCCACACACTAGAACTCAAAGAATCCAGCTGAGGGCCTGGATCCCATGGCAATGTCCTGCATTAGTCTAGTTGAAGACCTAGAGCCCATAGCAATGCCGCCCATGAGTCCAGCTGGAGGCCTAGAGCCCATGACAATGTCTCATGCATGTCTGTATCAAGGATCTGCACTGGGAAGGCCCAAAGGTCAGTGGTGGAAGCTAGAAAGCCTGCATCAGTGAGATGAAGGATCTGTGCTAGCAGGCTGAGGGATCTGCACTGGAGCCAGGAGGCGATGCTCAAAGTAAGGACCAGAGCACCCCTGAAAAGAATCGCAGCCATCCTCAGCAATAGCAAGGTCCCAAACTCCCCTGATGATAGCAGCCAAGTTCATATCGGGAAAACCAGCGCAACATGCTTCTCCAGGAGAATCAACAGCACCCCATCCTCCCCTCCAGTTCTCCTTTTTATGTTGTTGGCAGCAATCCTCAGGTGGGCCTCCCACTCAGCACCGTGCTGATGTAGTTCAGCTGGCTGTTACAAGTTGACCACTGGTTATCAATCCACCACAAATAACATAATATCAAATTTTATTAATAAACATATATAGAAATTATACATAACAACTGTGGAATATATAATATTCTTTTCAAGCATACATGGAACATTTATGAATATTATCCATCTATTGAATTATAGTGCTCTTCTCAACAAACTTGACAATTAAATTCACACATAACGTGTTCCCTGACCACAGTACAATTATGTTAGTATTGAACAAGGAACAGATGCCTGTAAATACCCCTACACCAACTGTTTGGAAAGTAAGCGGTGTACTTCTATATAACCCATCACAAAAAAAAATAAAAAATATTCTTAATGATAATGAAAAATGCTATATATAAATCTTCTGGGGTATAAATAAACCTAAGCTTAAAGGGAGTTTTATAGCTTTAAATTCATCGCCTCAAGAAGTCAGGGCAAAGCAGCAGCAAATTAAACCCAAAAAAAGTAGAAGCAAAGAAATAAAAAGGCAAGAACAGAAATTAATGAAATCATCCCATAAAGAAGATGTGTAAAGCCAAAAGTTAGCTCTTTTTAAAGGCTAATAAGATTATTAACCCTTATAAAGACTTATAAAGGAAAAACACAGATAGCCAGTAACAGAAACAAAAAATGTACATCGCTCCAGATCTTACAAATATTAAAAATAATGCATTTCTAAAAGAGTGAATTTTCTCTAGTCATACAGAGAGCTATGTGATATAGTCCCTGAATTCATCACATTTTACATGATTTCTGTCTGCAGCCATCAAACATCCAAAATTTGTTTCTCTTAAGGTCCTTGTACTAATTAGTGCAAGGGGTGCAATAACTGTCTCCTTGTAATTTGATCTCAGTTTTAAACATTACCTTCTGGAAAGGCCTTTCCTGAACACCCAATCTAGAATAACCACCCAGTTACTCTCCATCAAATCATTCCATTTTAATTTCCTAATTTAAGCTCATATTACTGTCAGACTGTCAAATATAAAAACATTTGTTCCATGTCAGTTATAAAACACATTAGGAACCTTATCTTGATCATCACTCTATCCCAGAGTGTACATAAGTAGGTTCTCAATAAGTATTGATTGAAATACATACTCTGATTCAATCACAGAGAAGTGGGCTAAGGGAAATATGAAAAAAAGTAGAACAGAAAATGAAGAAAAATCAGAAACTAAGAACCAATTATGGTAAAAGTGCAGAGCAAGACAGAGAATGTATATACAAAGGAGAGGAAAATACCTTAATTATACATTATTATTGTTGTGTTTTGGAAAAACTCTTAATTACAGGGCAGAGAACTAACTTCACTGAGTTTCCTCTATGTTTTCCACCAGAAAAACTTCCCTTATTTTCAGCCCTTTTCTAGGGAAAAAAAAAGAGAGAGTGCTTTTGCTCTATAGAAGAAAATGAAAAGACTATGTTTTCCTGGAATAGACTGTCAAGGATGACTGGTAATGCTATTCACTGACACAGAATGTTAGAACTGTTTTGGAGAGAAATCATAACTTTCATTTTTAACAGCTTAAAGTATAGTAGCTTTAGAACATCCAAGTAGAGATGTTGACAAGGTAATAGGATTCATCTGCCTGGAGCTCTGAGGAGAGTTCTGAGCTGGAGTTTTAAAACTTTGCTGTGTGGATGATAATTGTAGTTACAGGCAAGGAATATCTAGCGTTTGCAAAGCTAGGTTCCAGGGATGACCTTAAGGAGCTCCAGTATGAAATGGCCTGTGAAAGAGGCTGAGAAAGAATAGCCAGGAGAATATGGTTTCATGAAAGCTAAGGTAAGACTGTATTTGAAGACCAGTCAGCAGTACTGAATGCTGCTTAGACACCTAGGAAAATGAAAATTGAATATATTTATTTGCTTTAGTGATGTCTTCGACCTTAGTGAAAGCAATTTTAGCAGGGTAAAGGTGGAATCTGATCAACCTTAGTTTAATATCCATAATATCTTTGCATACAGTAGACCATAGGTATCCAACCTTTCGCCTTGTATAGGCCACATTGAGTGAAGATCAACTGTCCTAGGCCACATATAAAATATATGATATAGTTAATGTATTGAACAAAAAATTTTCTTTTAAATTATTACTATAGCATCTCTAATATTAGTGATTTTTTGTAAATATAACAATATCATGAGCAAAAAATTATTTTATACATTTCTGTACTTCCTGTGTCACATGTGCTAAGAATATTTTAAATTATAAATATTCATGCACAAAATTATATAAGCCTAAGTTTAATAATTAAGAAAACATACATGGCTGCTTAATAACAATAAATTCATGTCTCTGCAGGCACATACATGTAGGTTGGTTGAAGTGCTTTTATTGGCAATGATTGCATTTTACTCACCCAGTCACATTGACGCACATAACATCTGATACACACAGGTTTCGATTCCACTGACTGTGTGTGACAGGAGCAAGAGCACTATGTCTCTACACAGCCCACACTTGAGCACCATGCAAATTCATAAAATGTATCTCTGAAAACCACATATAACATGGAAAATTTATTATCTTATGGGGCCATTTAGCCATCTAGGGCTCCATGCAGCCCACACCACAGACCACAGGTTGGACATGCCTAAGATAAGATGATTTTTTAACTTTGTTTTATCACTAAGTGTTTAATTATTTAAAATGTAGAATATATATGTAGTATTTGAAGACTAAAGTGGACAACATTTACCTATCCTCTCACTCATGTTAGGAAATAGAACCCTAGAAGGCACATATTTGTCCCTTCGTGATTATGTTGTTCTTCCTGTGCTCTCTCTACACATGAATTATTCCCTGAACAACGTACTTTTTAATAATATACATTTTTAGTTATAGCTGGCTTTGAACTCTATAAATGGAATCAGCCTGTATCAATTCTAAGGCTTGTTTCTTTTGCTCAAAATTATGTTTTTGAAATATATCAATGTTGCAAGAGACTGTAGGTCATTTATTCATTTTCACTGTTGCATTCTGTTAGATTACTATGTATGATTTTTTATTATTCTGTTTATGATACAGATTTGGATCATTTCTAGTTTTTTGCTATGAAAAGAACAGTTCTA